TTTTCTTGACGTGTGCATTATTCTTCCTCCGTTTGCTGTAGTAATACGCTAATCAACGAATCGTGTGCAATTTTACCGTGACTCGGACATTTCGATTTAGTTTGAGTTACATTCTAATTTATTTCGTTCCCTTTGACACTCGAGCGACTAAAACATATATGCAGTACATAAATAATATATTGACGTGCTTTGGGTCAATAGTAGGTAATTCCATTGAACAGAAGGACAAAATATGGTATTAAAATTACTACCTTTTAGATTCTTGAAAGTTAAAAGAAAACATTCCCTTTTAATTAAAACAAATTTCTTCGTCTCTGTTAAAATAATCATAAGTAGTAGTCTGGCAGTGAGCGTGTTGAAAAGTACGTTATACAAAAGATGTATTATAATTAAGATAGATTAAAGTGATGGAAACTCCTACGAAGTATTCCAAGAATCTATATAATTACCAGCACAAAGTGGCTCCGTCTGCAAACCCTTTTTTTCACCGCTGTAATTGACATCGTGGCAAATTAAAGTAGGAACATGGAACTCGGTAACCTGACCGGCCGTAGGGGTCGAGAGGGCGCGTACGTGCCATCTTTAATGGCTCGTCGAGCACTTGTCACGCCTGTGACTCGAGTTCGCAAGGGTACGTAACGGTGCGCCCAAGGGGTCGATGGGACCGAACTGCTCTCGTAATAAGTCATTGAAGTGAACCCAGCGTGGATGACAACGTCTTTTGCCGCGGCTGTCTCTCCCTTCGGGGACGGAGAGGGACGATAGATCAAGCCACTTCACTTCCGGTCCCGGGATCCGTATGCACGTACGCAGGCCCCGTGCGCGCTTTGCGGCCCTCTTAACTTCGCGACGTTAGTCTGCCCCGTGCGTGGCCTGTCGGTTTATATCAGTCTGCGGGCGTAGCATATGCTTCCGGTTACGTGCGAATGCACCTCTGACCTGTGATTTTTGGCCCCGTGTCTTCGAGGAAATTAGCTCCGGTGATGGATCGCCGCGAAGAAATCGACCACGATTTATCGAGACTCTCTCTGTTTCATTGACTATACAGGGTATCTCGGATCCGGTAGTACAACCGGCTGGGAGCTGATTTTACGAGATAACGTAAGTCGAAAAAAGAATAAATTCGTTTCAGGTTTTGTTTTCAAGGAAATGTGGTTTGAAAAATCACCCGAGCCGCGTGTATTTGTGCTGGGAATTAGTAATAACAAATAAACAGTAGAGAACAAATTTTTACGGCTGTTATACTACTAAGCTCGTTAAATATCACGGTCACTGGTTAGAGTTTTGCAGTATTAATTTTTTAAATTCTGTGTCACGCGTCAGGGTATCCATATACAAGGTGTCCTACGTAACGTGAGCACCTTCCATACCTCACTTGCTTCTGCTTTGCAGAAAATTAATTTTAACAAATGCTCTAAGTGATTACATTATTATTACAGTCTACTCCCTTACATGTATGCATTTTTCGTACTCAAGTTCACATGAAGGTCATACTATTTAGGTCATTGGATTGGTCCTGACTCAACTATTACACCACGATGATAAAAATATATATTCCCATTAAAAAATATGAGCTTAAGAAAAACTATTGCTTGTCATAGTATTTGCTCCTTTTAACCAAATAATATTTTCCCCTCACATTTTTCTGTATCTCCAAAAACAAGCGAAATATTGAAGGTGCTCGTGTTAGGTGGGACACCCTGTATACGGTTGTTAATAAAACTCGGCGTGTAATGTGGTTACAGGTAAATAAACAGTTACGTCTCACGTAAAAGCTGTTCGCGACTCTTCACAAGATTAATCCCCCGACTGTATACAACGGACGCTTTTCATTATTCCGCGGGAGCGTATTTTACAGTTCGGCCAGCGTCATACATCAACTTGTATTACCGAAACTTCTCTAAAATTGATTGTACTCGGCGTATACATCCCAATTCCCAAAAGCACGAAACTCTCCGCGTCGCTCTCTATGCCCGGTTATATAGTTTGTGGATATTAGTACAATGCTGCCATGACGGAGACACGTTAAACTTTGCATTGCCCCGGGAGTTCACGCGGTTGTTTCTCTTCTGCCGCGGAATAGACAAACGAATCATTACCGTCATTACCGAAAATTGCTGTGTAATCTGGCCCCGGTCTCGATTGCATCATACGCAATAAATGTTCGATCGGATTGCTGGCTATTCATTGCCGATTGGATCCCATAATGTCTGACGAAGCTAGTTATGCTGCCAACGACAAATGGAAATTCAGAGGGTTCGGAGGATCGTGAAGATTCGACAGATTTTTTGAAACCTGTCGAACACTTTGTTGGACCAAGTAGAATATTCTTAATAGATACGTGACAGAAGTGTGGAGTTACTAATCAGTGAAAATAAAACTTCTAATGATCTGGGAGGTTCGAAGAACTTTATCCGAATGTCTGGAGACTTTATAGGACCAAATAGAACTCCTAAGAGTGGGTAGTTAAATGATTTAATGGGCTCGAGGTCTTTCGAAGGGACTTCGGAACTTCTGAGTACCTTATGAAATTAAATAGAATTCCTGGGGATGTATAATTAAGAGAAGTTTAGGTCCATGTACTTGAAAATTGCACGGAAGACTGTGTACGATCTTTGTGAATGACACAAGATTGACACTGTAGATGTATCATTTCCATCCTCGCGAGATATAAATCATTGGAATTGGAATTTCTGTGCTCGTAATTGTCCCCTTAGGGTCTAATCTCTCCGGAGGTGTCCATCTCAGGTTCCGTGGTTATGCACACGTCGATAGTAGGTCTCAGGTCGTCGGGTAATAGGTCTCGGAGCCCCAGTATTATCAGTGTCGTGTTTCACAAGCTCCGAGATGTCTCGGTTGATCCACAAATTAAACTACCCTGATCAAGAAATAGAAGAGGGTCGTTGTGCTTCCAGTGATTTTGTTCTTACTGTACTCTCAACTTTTTTACCAACATACACGAGAGATTGCATCTACTTTGTACCTATTTTATAAACTCTAATTTCTAGTCCTTACTTAGTATATCCTCTGCTCTCTAATCATGTATTCATATTTTCCATTCCCAAATATTCACTCGTCAATATACCCTCTGCTCATCATTTTCTGCACTACGTTCTCTACTTCCGAATATTTCCTACCGTTCAGTACATTCACACTCGAGATTTCATTTGTTCTGTACTTTATAAACTCCAATTTCCACTCCCTACTCGCTATATCCCCTACACTCGAATCATTAATCCATATTTTCTGCACCCGAATATTCACTCCTCAATATACACTTGCTCACTATTTTCTGCACTTTGCCTCCTGAATATTTCCTACCGTTCACGCTTCACTTTCCAATTCTACTAGGAGGTACGCTGCTCTCAATCAACGTTGTTTCCGTTGTAGTTTCGATCCTGTTCGACGGGACGCACGCGCGAAACATCCTGTCAATGCAGTGCATCCTGAAAGGTACACTCAAGTGTGCTGTCCACGCGTGCAAATTTTGTTGTTACGGCCGTTGAAACGTTGCCAGTGCTTTACGCCTGCTTTTCCAGCTGCGCCTACCTCCACCCTTCTACCTCCCATTGCTAAGCTACTTCAACTTGGACAGCTTCCAGGTGGTTCCTCGCGCCTGGCGCGAATTTCAACGTGGATTTTAGCCCCTCCTGCGTGGACCGAGAAGTGCTCCTTGAAACAACGAACACGTGCCGGGACGTCGGTTCCTAGCGTTCGATTAACGAGCCCCGAGCTGGTGTGCATACATACCAAGTGCGCGCGCGCGCACAAGCTTGAATATTTGCCGAGCAAGTTTCCACTCGGACGGTATCGATGATTCGGTATATTCACTCATTTGATCGGTCGAATCGCTTCGATTGCACAGGGTGTTCAGTCAACGGTGCAATAATCAAACGGAAAAGTGAATTTGTTACAGAAAAATTAGTCGAATATGTAGAACAAAATTTCTTCACATTGCATTCGTGAACTTAGATGTCTTGCTATCGCTGGTTTGTTTCTACTTAACCCTGATCCGTCCCTCACTTTTCCGACTCAGTTTGTCTTTCGGTAGAAAATTGACACAGCGGATTGATATTTTGGAAAACGAAAACTTTTTTCGAAAAATGTTATGCTACACTTTTTCTTTGTTTTTTTTTTCTTTTTCCCTTAAATATAGAATCGACTCTTTGCTGGTTGTAACACCTATAATTCCCAGGGTGTATTTAATATTTCCATTCCTATCAGAGCACCCTGAATAATGGAATTCTTGTGACTCCGGTTAGTCAAACGATCGGTTAATTGGAATAACTCTTCGACAGTCCTGTCGGTTACTTATTCATGCAGCCTCTATTTCGAGCCACGGTCGGCTCGCGGGATGAAACTTTCATCCGCGAACGGTTGGTTGGAGTCAAATAGATCCACGCTGTTCTTTCAACGCTGTGGATCTAATTGAAGCGTTTTAGATCGAAGCCCCTTGTGTTCTCCCCCGTTTGCCTTTGTAGTGAACTTTGAATTGAGAATCCATGGAATAGATAATAACGTGGATTTGTGGTTCGGTGCAATAGTTCCGATTGATCTTGCGATTGAATTGCTTTTAACGAGTTCAGCTACAATCAGAAGCAAAAAGAAAAGAAAAGAAAAACAAAGTACAATACATTCAGAACTAGTTCCTTGCTTAATGAAGACGAACGAAAATAACATAGTCTTAGAATCAGCTACTTTTTTTTGCTTCTCAGTGTAGATTTAACAGGAGTAGCGAGTGACTTTTCTTTTTCTTCTAATTTACGAACGATCTATAATTGAATTTGCCATGGAGCAAATTTTACTAATTTAATTGTATGATATGGATACATTAGAATAATATGATACACGTCTTGGTTACATACTGGAAAATTTTTAAGTACCAGGATAAGTATTGGTAAGCAGAATTTAAGAACGTATGTGCAGTGTATGCATTAATCCTTTTAAACGACAATAACGGACGATCTAAAGTGCACGCTCGGCTACGATTACTGTTGCAGTCACGAAGCTGAGAGAACATTGGGACGAGACGAACTCGAAAGTGATGCAAAGGAAGACGCAGTTGGACGCGATGCTCGGTGACAGCCAGCGATACGAGGCGAAGAGGAACGAGGTGGAAGTATGGCTCGCGCGGATGGAAACTCGACTGGAGAAAATGCAGGCTGTAGGGCACACCGCCGACGTTCTCGAGGCGCAGCTCCGAGAACAAAAGGTACGCTGGAATTCCCATTCCCCTACTCCCATTCTTTTCCGAACTTCTACATTAACCGTCGCGCATTAACCATACCAGAGGTCGCGATTTTTATCTAGTCTTTCTTTATATCTTGCGCGGCAGACTATTCGTTGGAGTGCGAGGCGTACGCTTTCGTACCTCGTGCGCGCTTAGGCGACCGTACTGGTCAATGAAACCCGATGCACGTTCTGGCGATAGCTGTTGAATGAAAATATTTTTCCTACTGTTTCTATACTCTCTGCGAGTATGTTTCGTTATTTTCTGATCTTTATTTTTACTTACTCTGTATGAATATACAGAGTGCTCACAGAAAAGGGGATCCAAGAACTTAGAGGCTGATACAGTAATATCTCGATGAGTGCGTCGTACTCGGGTTCAGTTTGAAGCATTCGTGGCAAGGCAGTGCAATTTTTAGCCCTTCATAAATTTTTTTTTTGCCTCAAATCGAGCCTCTGATTATCTTCTGTTTACTCTGTTTTGATTGGTTTCACAGGGGGACTCCCCCAGTGGTAGGAATAACGCCGTTGCTCGTGATGTAGTAAAAAATGTCTAATTCACACAGGCTGCACTTGTTATCGAGTAATTCATTGAGCTCGTTTTCTACGTTTTCATCTGTGCAGTGTATTCTTATTCCTGTATCTTCTGCCCTTTACTTCTTAACGGTTATAATACATTTTATATTCTGTACCTTTCGTTTTGTACTTTCGGAACTAGTACAGTATATTTTATTTTATTTTCATTTTCTACTTTCTCTATTCTTTATCTAGTGTCAATAATCTCTGTATCCTTATCTATATTCTGTAATATTTCTGATCACGACGATCTACCTTGTACATTCGTCCCTCCACTTCGTAGGCATAACTCTATATTCCGCCTGATCGCGGGACTGGTCGTGCTGCAACTGTTCGCCCAGTCATATCTAATCAATCATTCCTTCTTTACCACACACCCCCGCCAACATGTCATTCGTATTCAGCGGATGAACGACTCATTCACCCTGGTAGTAACCAGCTCTTAATGGACTGGATATTTCATTCACAATCCGCGATTAATCCCCTATAAGCTTTCAGTAATGATACCAATCTCATTCACGATACCCATATCACTCTACTATTGATACTTCGATAAATTCTTACTGTTTATAGCTCGTTTTACAAAAACCAGCCCGATACGAAAATTACCAAATCACCAACTAATCTCTGTTAAAATTCCAGTTTCATTGTGCTCTTGGCATTCACTTAATATAATATAGTAAATTAACTTGCGTCTTAATACTTACGGACAAGAGATCCGAATGCCTTATATGTGACTATTTTTATTCCTAATATACCATTTGAGCAATGATAATACGATTTTAATATAATGCCAAGAGAATATAAACAAGAATATTCATATCCCCATAAGCTTCGATACTTTTAAGGAATAGTAAATTCAAAGACAAAATAACAAGAACAAAAATGGCCCGAAGATCGCAACAGCGTTAATATTCTCTAGGTATCACTTTCTACTTCGACCATCCCTGCATAAATGCTCGATACAATTTACCCGGTATCATCGTGTAGAAACAATTAAAATCCAAACACTCGTAGAACCGTCGACTACACAGTCACCTGAGCCCATTTCTTCCCAGTCTTTTGAACTTCAATCTTAATCCAAATGCTTCGCCCCACGAATCACTCGCGTAATCTAATATTAACCAGGCAATTATAGAAACGACAGACAGAAGTTTCTCGTGTAATTCCCAGGCTCTCCGTTTATACCATTCTTCCGGCGAGAATAAATACGAACGGTACCTCCGTCGAATATAATGGCCCCGCAGCCAGGCCAGGGAGTTCGTTACCAGCCACGACTGGTTCGCGATTACAGAGAACGAACGCGATCGGTATTCATCCGACCAGCTACTAACCTCTTTTTAGCAACGTTTCGCTACCGCTTTGTGTACGAGAATAACGTTGGCCCGGGGCCGGAGAAGAAAAAAATTTCCTGATGGTAAGGGTGGGTGGAGGGAGGCTCGGGTGGTTGCACGGCCAAAGGTCCCAATCAACGAGATCGCGGCGGTATAGTACATCGCGCGGTTGTGGTACTTTGTTTAGATTGAAAAGAGCCGAATGAGATATTCATGGAATAATTTATTTCCACGAGATCCAGGCCGCGGCCTGGTCGAGTTCGCCTCGATTCGCGCAGTTATTCGCGAATGTTGTCTTTTCCCGTTCAAACCAATGGCGGAGCCATCGGGCCTGGTTACTATTTTTTTTCTCCGTTCGTCCCGACGCCAGACTGGCATTACAATATTCATGAATCGAGCGGGTTTGTTGGTTTGGCTAGTCTCGATGATTCGTCTCGAAAGGTTAATGAGTTCTGTTTAGATTTTAGAGAGGGTATCGAGTCGTTGCTTGCGAAGTGGAGGGATTCTTTTCTTGGGGATGCTTAAGTGAAAGGGGTAGTCGAGATTCGATTTGTATTCGATAGCTTGTGGGGAATATACGGTATTGTGTGCATTTATGTGAACAGATGTTTTATTGTGAGTGACGTAGCGCAGTAATGAATTGCGAATTCACCTTTGGCTGATGTCTTCTGGCAGGCAGAAACTAATTTTCTTGGGGTTTATGTTACCATTTCTGATTAAAACAGCCTTATCGCGAAGGATTGTCTTTCTTTTGCTTCCACGTATTCCTGGTCGCTTCGCTGCAACTGATCTAGTTACCCATTTTTTTTCCTTTTGTTTCGAAATCTTATTTACTACTTCAACACTAGCGTCAGATTCCATAATTAATTTGATACCGACGATCAAAGTCAACTGATCGGAGACACTAACGTATTCTGATAATACTTCTTATATTAAAAGTGCATTAAATAGCATCGACACTTCCCCATAAATACAGAATCGGGTTGGAGGTTATATATTGCACGTAATGTAGCTGCCAAAGCCAACTAACAACAATCTGTTTTTATGTAAAAATCTCTAATAATCGCTGCAGTTCACATTAATTCGTACAATACTGTAAATTGGATAAATGACAGAAATTCGTGTAAATACAGATTTGTTGTAAAATAATTCCTGGAAACTGAAGCCAGGTAAAATCCTATTTACCGTCTTAACGATTTTCCAAAGTTCCAAACGATACAAAAACGTCGTTGAAGTTTATTAAACTTTTCGCTGCACTATGAGTTTCAGACAATCATGTACGCTATGCACGCAGAATAACTGTACTGTAAAAAATTCTATATAATTCCTATTTCGGTAAATTAGTGTATAAAACTTTTAATTAATATAACTCACTCCACGACAGTACCACTATTTTTATACGAGCTTAATCCGGCTGATTATAAGTTTTATCAACGTCGATCAGTTGTACCCTGCAGTCGAAAGAAAGTTTCCCTCGCGCGGAATATCGAAGCATAAAACTTCGGCCCGTCCCATGAGCCCGAAGATTTACCTTCTTTAAGTTACGGCACGCGATTCCTGACTTGATACCAACTCGGACATAGATAAGTTTTCCCCGCGGCGTTGACCTTCCCTCCCCTCCCCCTCCTCCTCTCTTATTTTATTTCGTCCCGTTCGTTTTCTCAGTCGTTCCACGCGGAGCTGCACCAGTACAAGCGACAGATCGAGCTCTTCAATCAGCTCACGCAGAAGCTGATCGCCGTTTATCAGCAGGACGACACGACACGCGTGAAAAAGATGACGGAGACCATCAATCAAAGATACAACAATCTCAACACCAGGTATGTCGCTCGTCGAAGAAATTCTGCATACGTATACCTTCGTACATTATTTATTATAATGTCACCTCGGATCCTGCCTACAGATTTGAGAAAGAAATTCTTTTAATGTAACTGTAGAAGCAATGTACGTAATGTATAATATACAGGGTGGACCATGAAACGTGATCAGCTTAGATTATTCTACTGTCATAAATAGAACTATTTTTGTAAGATAACTATTTATAAGATTATTGTACGTCATAAATAGAATGAAGCAATAGTTTTTTTTTAACCATTTTATTACGAATAGTTCATTGGATACTGCTGTAAATTAGTATTATGAAACGATGAAAGAATAATTATATCAAGTAGCACTGAACACAAATTACAAGAGACATACTTTCTAGTTTATTCTGAGCCCAATATGATACTTAAGAAACAAATGTAATTCCTAGATTTGCTTTTCTCTGTGTGAATTGCTGCAGAAAATATAATCTCGCATAAAAATCCGCAGTCTGATAATGTGTATCGAATCGGTTTTAGTATCATCAATCGAGGAAAACTGCTGCACTCCGCGATGAACTCCCTCCACAACTTCGACCGGTCCCTGGACAACTTCTTGGCTTGGTTGAGCGAAGCGGAGTCCTCAATGGAGGGATTGGAAGCGGACGCGGACCGACTAGGCGGACGACGGGACCAGGGCGCTCTCAGGCGACCGCAGCATCAGCTCAAGGTGAGTCTCATTTTTCTTTGTATCAGCTTACCGTACGATTGCTTCCTAAATACTTGAAACCGAATCAAATGCGGGCGCAACATCGATTATTTATGTCTCTCGATCGGAACTTATATCGCCCTAAGTGCCAATTCCATTTATGTGTCTTCTTCTATTGTCATGATCTACTTGAAATCCGTGCCTGCCAGAGGAAGTATTAGAAAACCATTCCTTTATCGATCGAAATTCTCTGGTATTTCTAGCGAACAAATTGTTGAAATTTAAAGAAACGTCTTCCTCGTAACTGTAGGCTACCAGGAAAATGATCCCTTAAAGTGTTGGAAATGTCGTTAATTACTTCTGTAGAAATAACCTCAATGAGTTTGCATATGAAATAGGATTTAAAGTAACGATCAACTTCAAATTTAAAAGGCCACTTCTTTCATTATTCTTCGGGCTACAGAATGTTTCGAGAATTCACAGTCTTTGTGACCTTTATTCTATATATTTTGAGAATTTTCATTTTTAATACGGTACTCCCAGTTGAATTGCGATAAACAGAAATTGATGCGCGACGAGGCCGTAAGATCCCTCGGAGACGTTCTAACGGCGGTCACGTCTGGAAACCAGATCTGTATAGGTCACGTGTTGACTGAAGAAGGTTTTACGGCTTCGATTGATTGCCACAAAAGTGTGCCGAAGGCAGCAGTCGGCGTGTCGGTGTATCCATTAAAAGGAAGATGCTCGATATCGGGTATCGGTAGAATGCGGTGGCGGTCCATCAGCTTCTCTTCTGAACGCTCCTATGGTTATGCATTACGTCCCGTGGGAACCTGAAATATTGCATAAGAAAATGACGACCACCGAAGGGGGGCTTCCTGTATCCTGAAACGATGTTCCAAAAATAGATTTTCCGCGGTTTCATTAATATAGAGTGGTTCGAAATGAGGTCATTCTAAATATCGAACAGAGATCACTTTCGTACACTGTGGAGAATCTTCCACAGAATGTAAGGATACGCGAAAAATTGTTCACAGAATAGATAGGGTGATAGTTTTTGTGAAGAGAGGGAAGATGGAACGGAAATTTGACGGAATTTTCAATTTGAATTTCTCATTTGTGAAATACAATATTCGATAGTTTCCAGGATTGTAAACATTTTTAATAGTTTTCCTGGCATAGTTTCTCGACTGGAGTTAAACCGCAATTTTTACAACAATATTTACAGGAAAATGTGTTTGGCTAGACCCTTGAGATTCAAGGTGCTTATGGAGTTCTAATATCTCCGTCATTCGCTCCTATCTAATTAATAATCTCGTCACCAGTTCCGATCATCGAATTTTAATTCTCAAATTACATCCTAAATTTTTCGGCTGGCTGATAAAAATTGTCAATTTACATCACTACACTGGTCACTCTACAAAAATCGCTGTTCACGATCTTACACCTGGTTAAATTAACCGATTTCATTTGTTCGAGAAATATGTTCTTTCATGAATACAAACGAGGCTGTTCTAAAACCGTCGGTTTTGCATTTACACAGAGGCGTGTCACAACTTTTCCCGTATCGGTGATCGTGCGTCGACAAGCGAAACGACGCGTTGTTTAAACAAATCGTGTCCACGTAGGGGGATACGCGCGATGATGAGAAAATTAAACGGTTCCCGGACGCGACGAGTTCATGACGACGATCGGAGAGGGACCTTTGTGTTTACAATGCCCCGTGTAACCGACGGGTAACATCACCGTGGCCAAATTGATATCGTCCGTGTACCGTGTGCCGTATAGCGCCGGTTCCGAATGAAATTAATCCACCGCCGGCCGACACACTGCACGCGATTCCGGGAAAATTAGCTTATAATATTGTTTGTCCGGTTATATATTATCACCGGCGGTAACTCGACGTTGTGTTATTTACCCTGTTTTGTTCGTTGTTTGCATCACCGTCCATTGTACGCCTAGCAGTTCGGATCCTCTCCCCCGGAAGAACGGTCCAATTCTGAAAGGGTAAATTATCGTCTGGTACCCGTTGGTCGTGTGTTTTTTTTTTTTTGATGGAATTGTGGCATAATTTTCCACGGTTCTATCCTTCCATGGAACAATTCTACCACGCCGAGGCAGATGTCACCGTCGTTATGGTAATTTGACTTCGTTTTTTAATTCTACCGCGGTACTGAAGCTAGACTTCTTTTTGGCCACGCGGGTGCATCCATGAAAATGCACGCTGGGTTGTTTTAATGTGGCGGGGAAGAATTAAATAATCGAGGTTTCGAGAGAAGGGACTGGTTCTCTTAATTGGACGATTCTTTTTTTCCAAAAGAAACAATTAGAGATATTTTTTAACGCATTACTCAATATTACTTGTCATTCCCTAAAAGAAAAAGTATTAAGCCATTTATGTCGACGAACGATTAAGTTGAGAAGATATTTTGGTTCCAGAATTCCGAAGTGGTACTAACAATACGATGTTTCTGTTTCTAAATTTGATATTCAAATATACGTTTTTATATGTCGTGCGTAGTATCCCGTGCAATATTGAAATTAATACATACATATTGTTCAATTACCAAGTCAAGGAAATAATTGAATGGACACTTGTAACGATTGATGGATGAATATTTCAACAGCAATCGAAGGTCACAAGAGTCTCTATTAATACATATTGAAGTTCATTAATGTTTGTTCTCCAAATGAAATGGGTCGTGCTAAATGTAACGTAGTAACTTGCGCATGTATTGTTCAGTAAACTCCAGCATTTTAGTCGGATTTCGAGTCGGTGCATTTTCGGTCGACGGAAACGGCTGCGAATGTAACTTCCGTGCACCTCATTAGCGAGGAGATGGTGACATTGATTATCCGATAAACAGTTGGACAACTGATTGGAATCGATCGGGTCGATAAATCCGGAGGAACTAGGAACGAAAGGAAAATCGCCACGGTTCGACACTGTCGGACCACCGCTCTGGTCCAATAATGGCGGCCATTGGAAATCAATGTCATTTACCGTGGAATTTGATTATATGCCTGTTCTGCAGTGCGTAATGAGAATTAACGGAATCTATTTCACCTCGTTCACCTTTCTTCATTGCATTCTTGGTAGATTTACCGTCTCGTTAATTAATTATATTCTTGGATCTAGTATATCGCGTGTTTTCGACCAGGAATGTATGGTTGACCGTAGTTTCGATTTAGTGTTTGCAGGAAATAGAATACATAAAAAATATTAGTGTCTTGTAATTTCAAAATTTTCTTTTGCATTGGTCGTAGAATTGTTTTAATCTTTAGTGGATTAAATAATCTTTTAAGATGTAATGTTCTTTAATTACTCAATATTTCATCGTTATATGCCTTTGGTAATAAAAATTTAATTCTGACACATACATCACGTACGTACAGTTTCGTAAGATATAGAAAATTCGTGAGTCGGTTAACGTGTTAACCTTAATTGAGGGTGTTTAAAGTTTCGTTCGGAATCGTTTCAATCGATTTTTGTTCGTGTTCAATGGAAACGTGTAAGAAATTGTTCGTCCAGGAAATACCCTATGCAGCACACGCTCGCGGCGCACATAGAGAAGAGCAGAGCGTGGACTACAAATTACATCCTGGTGACTAATACCGCCCTGGACAGCTGCTTCCACTCGTTAAACTTCAAGTGGGACCCAAGCTATTGATTGTCATTCGTAATAACGAGGTTACTGAAGCGCGGTGCTTAATTAATTGTTCCCCTTGCTTTACTTCCTTTTCTTTCTGGATTAGTCCGTTATTGCGGGAATTCTGTTTCAGGTTTAAACGAAAGCTTTTTCGGGCGCAGACTGAGGCAGGATTTTAATGAGCAAATAACTGGTCATTCTAAAGTTATACGCAATGTAGAACACGTGGAAGGGAAGTTGGTGTTACTCGAAGGGGGAAAACAAATTAAACGTTCTTTTCAAATTCTCCGGAAGTGTTCTAATCTTTTCCTGCAAGCTTAAAAATGTCTTTCAATACTACACTGGAAAAAAATTCCATCTGTACAATTGAATTATCGGTTCATCACTGTGAATTATTATCACCAAAATCATTATTCACTCTATTCTTTTAAAATTTTCGAAGGCGAGTTTGCAATAGTCATTATCCCCCAAAATCACCATTTATTATAATTACATAATTCCGAACGATTAGTGTTAAAACTGTTCAAAGATGAGTTTGCAATGCACTTATCCCGACAAATCACCATTTATTCAACCTAAATAATTCTGAACGCTGATGGTTAAAACAACGTCAAACCGTAAGTTTGCAGTGCCCGTCGACAAATTGAATTTCCGCGGATACAGGCATCAAATTGCCGGGTCGTATCCGATACGCAGGCCAGTTCGCGGCCGACCCATCGAACCATCAATATTCTTGGCTGCGACCGTAGCTATCGAAATGCCCCCGCAACAACGTGTTCCTGTACGTGGTTCACGCTCGCTTGTGCGCGATTCTACTAATGACTTATCGACCTAACTGCGCGCCCTGTAACTCATGCATACGCAGAGGCCCTCCCGACCGTCTTACGGGCCGAGAACATCCGAAGGAATTTCCTAATACCCTCCGTCCAAGGCGGAGCAACGCTCCGCGGCGGCGCATGAATTGCGATTTGTCGAGCTCAAGTTATGGGCCGACGATATTGGATCGCGGACGGAATTACTTGAAATCGAAATAGGAGGAACGGCTGCTTGATGTGTATTCTCCGCGGGACGAAAATAGAGCACGCCCGGGGAAATCGCGGCGTGATTCTTTTACGATATTAATATTTACGCTTGGCGAAGCCTGAACAGATCGAGTCGAACGTGTATTTTCACCTTCTGCCGAGGATGTTTTATTAACTTCACGATTTTTTTTATTAGGGATTACTTGTTTGTCGGTAATCGGTTGATTACAAACGATGCAGAATGTCACAGAATCTAAATTTAACAGGTCACGTGATCAGAAACCATTTTATTTCATTTCGCACAGACATCCACCTACCATTGATGATTTATTCCGTGGGTTATTGTTCTTTTCAGACTCTTTCGTGTCATCGATCTTAGTAAAAAATAGAAAAGAATCTAAAAATTCAGAGTTTCATAGAGATGTTGAGAACGTTATTGGTGAATGATGACGTCATCGAAGAGGATTATTAAAATTCATGAAAACTTGGTTCATCCATTTACGTCTACTTAAACAAAATTATAAACTTCGTCGTATTTTATTGTTCGAGCTAAATCAGCGTATTAGTTCCGTTCACTAAAATAATAAACACTCTGTTCAAGCCTCGATGCGCTGACAGCGAATACGTTCTCTCGGTCGGCTTAGATCTTAGAGGTTTCGCAGCGTGAGCTCGAAATTCCTCGAGCCAGTGAACCCTCTAGGCGCACGCGACAAAGGGTGCAAATTGATCGAATGAAAAGTCCGGTTACGTCGTTACCAGGCGCGGCAGGGGGCGACGTTCGTTACACGATACAGCCGCAATTTCGCGCATCCTATTTGCGGACTAATAACGAAGGGGTGGTGTCGGCCACGCGCACGTTGAAGACCACGTTTTGTTCTGTACGGCTTGGCGACGTGTGGTTTCGCTGTGAATGTAAAAAAAGAAGAAAAAAAAAAATGAACCCAGTGAAATTGCGTTAGGGCGGATTAGCCACGGTAGGTTTGATTTAACGAAGCGACCGGAGCCGCGGTGTGTTTACCATGAATATGGGAAAGGGCCAGAGAGGCCTCCCTCCGTTCGACTCGCGTCGAAACGAAAGTTCAGGTCACGTAAGCGAGACTCCCTTGGCTTTGCCGATCGATGAACTCTACTTTCCGTGGTAAACGGCTCGCGAAGACATATCAGAGTACGGGTACCAACGCAAAGCGATGGGAAGCCTAAAATGATGTGTTCCTCTCGAAAATTCGTGACCCAGTTGTCTACGTTTCGATCAGCTGGCATAAGAATTTCTAGGGACCCGAGGGTTATCAAAATTCGGTAGTTCAGGCTTCGCAGAAAGAATATCATTGATTCCTTTTGGTGGGACTACTGTTGGTTATAATGTAACAGTTTCGTATTCTCTGTATTGGTGGTTTGTATTCTCAATTTATAAATGCGAATGATAGTTCGTAATTCGGTAGATGGTACCGTAGTTTCTTACATACTCTTTTCTACTTTAACTTTGTCCTCAATAGAGATGCCAATCGTCGATTCTAATTACCATATACTTCATATAAAAATGGATATTATCACCCATTAAAACGTTTAAATTCCACGCTCCTTACAAATATCTGCCTTCAACAATTACCG